TTGGAGAATTTAATATCACGACAATCTCATTGTGGATCTGCTTTTCTGTTTAATATGGAAATATCTGATAAGCCTAAATTTTATACCATTTTACATGTCTTCTTATTTGTGAATTGGAGTTTTTTATATTGTCTTGGTGTGATTTTATTTGGTTTACATCATTTTTATAGCTAAAGATTAAAATTGAAGAAATGAAGAAGTGGACAAGCTAAAATGGCAAAAACTGAAAAGATGAAGTCTGACTCCATAATTTTCCCATTTGAAGATCAAAACTTGAATTTGGCTTTCTTCTATAAATGTGCCATGCACAGCATTTGACATGTGTGCTCTCTTTCTTTTATTGTGGGAAAATAATATGGGCATGAGGGCACATAGAGGCTAGTATAAAAAAGGAGAGAAAAAGATTTGAAGGGAGGTTGGCAGAGACTTTAAGGGGGGCTTTAAGCAGAACAAAGAACAGCAGCTTTCAGTGTGGGTATTGGCAGAAACAAAGGCAGCCACCAATGAGGTTTTCGGCCAAGAAGAACACTAGCCAAGGAGAGAAAGAGCTCACCAGTCAAGAGGACAGATTTGGTTCAAGTGCACCAAAAATTGGGTTTTGCTTCCCTTACACTTTATTTTTCCTTTTCTTAGATATGGAATTTTGGTTCATCAATTTAATTTCAGATTTTATCATGATTAGTGTGAACGAAATTCCCTAACTAAGGCTACAATGTAGCCTAACCATGGCAATATAGAATTCTTTTTTTTTTTTTATGTTATTTGAGATTGTTATTTCATGTGAGTATATGTTATTGTGCTTAATGCTTTTAAATGATTAGCCATCACTTAAATTGATTTGAAGGGCATAAATGAGACCGGGGGGAGATTTTGTGCAATAGCTTCCAAAAACATATACCATAAATTGAACGAAAGCTAGAGATGAACCAACATGATTTGTGCAGCATTAGTGATCAGTTGACCCACAAGAGTCAACTTAAACTAGGGAGTTTCACAGAACTTAATGCACTGGCATCTAACTAAATTCAAAATATGTGGGTTATTAAGTAAGAGTAGGTTTGATATAACTTGAGAGAGAGTATCAAATAAGTTAGGAGATCCTGTTGTCATATGAATAGAGTCTCAAATGCATATGAATCTAGAATTTATATTGTTTAGCCATGGTTAAGTCGCATGCCTTAATGTGTTTTGCCTTAGTCAAACCTTAAATTTTATCTATTTATTTGCTTTTGTTTTTTTAAATTTGTTTCTTTTAGCTGTTTTTACTTTTAATTAGACAACTTTATTTTTATTATTCAAATAATTATAGGATTAGTTTTTTTTTTGCAGTCAATTAACCATCAATCATCGTGGGAACGATACTTTATTCATCATTATATTACTCATAGTTGTTGGCGTACTTACTATTGAGTTTACCACATCAATATCTTTAAAGTGCTAAAAATTCTAGAACAAATACCTGAACAGGGTATGAACTTGTAAGTAGCTTACAACAGCAAATCATCAGAGTTGAGACACTGGACGTAAGCAACTGATCAGACCTCTTTATCGTCTTTTCTATGGCTCCTATTAACGATGTATGACCTCCCAACGGAGGTGGGGGATCTTTTCCAGGTGGAACCAATAATCTTCTAACCTTAGCAGATTTAGCTTCTGCAAGGCATGTAAACAAATTTATTATGTATTTTTTTAAGACAGACAACAGTGCATCCACAATGGTCTCAGGATATACCTTCTTCCATGCCTTGGAAGACATCATTCAGATGGTCATTTATCAAAACCAGAATCTTCTGCATCATTAAAGACCAGCTACCCTCATCTCCTTTTGATTTCGGGAGTAATGCAAGGCAATGGCCAAGTTTCTGAAAACATAAACACCAAAAAGGGAAAAAAAAAAAAAAGAATTTACTTCAGGACAAAAGATGTCAACATCATTATGTAGAGGCAGCTAAACTGGGTTCAATAAACCATGTTACCTTCAACATTTTAGGGCCGCATTTCCCTGACAAAATTTTTGAAGAAACAGCAGCTTCCGCCTGCAGAAGTCATAAAGATCTAAACGTTACATAAATGAAGAAATTTCCCTTAACTGATAATAAAGGTCTCATGTGATTATGTAGTTATGGCTCCTATTTTAAACTCAAGTGTAACAAGATTGTAAATATTTTCACCCAACAGCTAGGTGGAACTGTATACTAGTGTGAGTCAAATAAATCATGCATACCATCAGTGTTGCAAAAATTGTGGAAATGCCCAGGCACGCCTGAGACGGCCTAGGCACTAGGCGGTGGGGAATGGGAACCCACCACTGCCTAGTGCTTTCTGCAATCATGCATACCATATCTTTGTTTTGGTCAGAATTGTATGCTCCACATCATTCATGGTATTATACACTGTTTACTGTGGGAATTCTCACAAAAAATAGAAGCTGACCTTGTCATAATGATGATGAATGGAAGCTGGAAAGAAAGTTATGATGGTATGTAAGAGACTAACTGCTCCATCCTGCATATCAGAGAAAAGGGGCATAAATGATACCTACCTGGGAACTAAAAAGAAGAGCAGATAGTAGAAAGGATTGAAATGCAAGCATCAGTTCCAGCATACCAAGTTGGGCAGACTGTCAATGCATGCATGTGTTTACATATGTCAAGGAGGGACATTCAAAATTTTGAATGTATGTGCTACTTACCCATACAGCTTCTGAACTATCCTCGTTTAAGAGCTTCAAAATAGGTTGAATGAGCTTCCCAGAATGTGAGGTCCCATCATTCTTTAGATTTGAAAACCTTCCCAATCTAATTCAGGAAAGAGAGCAGTTTTACAACTAAATAATGATACATCTGTTTGAGCATTTCATTTTTTTGCATGTTGGCAAATATCAACGCACAGTCCAGTATATATATGCAAGTGCATATGCATGAATAGGCTATTGCCAAGTATCTAACCTTGTTAATAGATCTGATAAAGAGGTACAGGAGGCCACCTTCACAAATTGAGAATCTGCTGGAGGCTATTCCAAACAAGATGTCAGACAATGTTAGAATGAGGAGATAGAGTTGAAATTGATTTTAAAGACAACTCATGAATTTCAACGCCTATATATATATATATATATATATATATATATATATAGGCGTTGAAATTGATTTTAAAGACAACTCATGAATTTCAACGCTTATATATATATATATATATATATATATCAACATTGATTTCCACAGAATAAGAAAACACTAACAACTAATGAAGAATAAATTCCAAGAACTTCCAACATGTAAGATACAACAACCCAATCACAGAAACACCTTAGTCGTAGTAGAAAACAAAAATGAGTATAACCTGTAGACTTCTACTTTCTCGACTCGTGATAGTATAATTAGCATCGTGATAGTATAATTAGCAATCTTGGGAAGGGAAAGGGGAAATTAAGCCTGGGCATTTGACGGTTGATAATACTAAGAAGTAACCAGACAGAATCAACAACAAGAAGCTTGCAAGCAATGTGGAATAACATGCAAAAAAAAAAAAAAAAAAAAAAAAAAAAAAGTAGCCAAAAATCAACCATCCTACTGCATGTAAAATTAATACTCATACCTGCAAATGAGATAGGAGCTTCTGAAACCAAACAGAGTAGGATGAAAAAAATCGAGCAGAGCTGCATTCTTGACAAGTCAAACCCAGAAGACAGATTCCTGCCCAACATTTATCTGACTAGACAAGAATGACACACGATCAAACAAAATTAGCGTTGAAGTGGGAAAATTTAACATCCGAAGACTCTCAAATTCCATTATCCCCTAAATTTCGTCGAATTCCGAGAATCTATTATGAACTTCCAGTTCCACAAAACATAAAAGAAACAGGAACGTAGACTTGAAATGTACCATGTTGCTCGAGGCCAGTAGCAAAACACGATTAACCCAGTCATCGATGACAGAATTCCAGCTCTGGATCAGCTTCTGATCCGTGGATTCTTCTTCAAATGACTCCGACAGGAGACTGTGAGTTTGGATGGTGGAGACAACCTTGGCCAGCTCAAAGGAGCTGTGAAGAGGCTGCTTCTCGTCCGGCAGATGTTTCCTGATGAGCGTCCGCAGCATTCGAGGCTTCAATTTGACATCATACATGTCTTTGTAGTGTTCTTTGAAGTGCTCGAAGGCCGCCATTGAAGCAGAGCTGTGTTGGTAGGGAGCAGCGGGGTTTAGGGTTTTAGCCTTTTAGGAGGCTGCTTCAGTGTAGTTGTGCTCAAAATGAAAACCCCGTTGGATAAAATTAATTTTGGCCGGTCTAACCTTCTGATTTCCTGTCAATTTTGTCCCAAATGTTTTTAAGAGTCTATTTTAGTCCCTGATCTTTTCTAAATGAAAACAATTTAATATAGAAAAAACTATTTTACATTCTGGATTATTATAAATTATAAAATATTAACACTTAAATAAGGAATGTGCCTTTGATATTTGTTATTGGACCCTTCCCATCAAAAAATTTTTGTTTTATTATTTAAAATAGTCTATAAAATAATAAACTTTTATTTTATCAAAAAATAAATTTATAATTTAAATTTATTATAAATTATAAATTATTAAATGAGAGAGTAACTGACAAGGGGAGGGCCCCTAATATAGAAATCCTCCCATCTAAGGATCTTTCTTTTTCGAATTGAAAAACAGCATACTTTTATTTTATTGCTTTACTGGATTCTGGACTGAAGGCACAGCCCAACCCAAAAGAGCCTCATCTCAGTTGTTCAATTTTGGGCTTAAACAAAAATGAATAATCCAAAAAAATAAAAAAGCCAAGCCCAATCCTTTCCTAGTAGGGTAGTATAGTATTGTGGGCCAGCCTGCTTAAAGCCTATTTTCTGTTTTCACCTTAGCCAACTCCGGACTGGCGGACTG